ACACATTTAGAATGTTAAGTGTAAACATAAATCACATTTAATTGAATTTATGTTCTGGATGTTTTATTCATTGCCACCAATGCCCAGCTCTCAATGAGATCATACCCATCTGTACATCTGTGTAAGTTAGTTACAGACCTGTCAGACAGTGGTTATTGATTGCAGAATCTGGCACTTTGATGTTAGGCTATATATGGAGCTATATCAGAATAACATGTATGTAAGGATCTAGAGTTGGCCTGGGTGAGTTGGCCACTCAAGCTTAGGCTGACATTTGGGACAGCAGGGCTGGACAACGCAGACAGGGGTCATGGCACACCACTGGATTTAACTGCTACAAATCACAGTACATTAGGCATTCCATATAGATACAAGGCAGGAGTTGGCAGATGTGTGTGTAGTATTATGGTAAATGGAAAAATTAATTATTAAAGCATCAAGAATGCATTCAGTGGTTATCTGTCCAATAGGTAGTCTTCATACATGTGTCTATTTTGAACTTAAATGTTGACATTTTGCCGAGTCAAGACAAGAAAACAAGTAGAAGCTGTTAAGCTGATATTATCCCAGGGTGGACTCTCTTTAACTCTTAATACAGTTAAAGGTGGTTTAAGTGAAAAACCTAGCATAACAACCCAACATGTGGCACCCAAACTGATTGTAGTTATTCTCCCATGTATTATTGTTAAAACACACAAGGATTTGTCTTGGATTGCAAAATAAGTGTCCTTTGGAAGTAATGTAGGGAATAGAGGTAAAGTTTGCTCAAAATTGTTTTTTGAGTTGTTTGTTTTTTCACAGAGAGGGTACATTTTTTCTAAGGACAGTCTGGGAATTTCACTAGTATGTGCTAAAAGGTTTGGACAGTACATATCATCTTCTTCATAAATCCCTTTCACGTTACTGATAAAATGAATTCTAATTCAACTTAGAATGTAACACGAGTTCTGATTGGTCAATGCTATAAATTTCTGACCGTATAACCAGCATATACCAGCATTTGAAAACCGATTCACCATGTTTTTGAGGTGGGTTTTATAGGTACGATCTAAATTATTGATTAAAATTTAAAACATGGAGATATTGTTTCCCAGGTGTATGAAATAATCATCAAAGTTATGGTGTCATTCATATGAAAACCTATAAGAAATGTTAGGTGTATTCTTGTTGCTTATTTGGACTCCTTCCCTTTCATGATTATTCATCCATTCATTCTGGAGAATTCCTGCACTGCCAGTTAATGAACAACATCATGCTAAGAATCTCTTCTCCTCCATAAAAAGTCCTGGCAGTCCGTCCAGTCAATGAATGAATCAGAGTCTAGCCAGGCTCCATGCAGCCATAGATAACTCCAGCACAGCTCTGTGTACAAATACTGTGGCACTGATGCCAAAACACCAAGCCTGTCTCCCACTGCCTGAATGAGCTGGCCAGTGCTGAGAGGTGATGCTTGTGTGGGGTGTTGGAGTCCGGAACTCATCAGACTGGAATGTACCATTCCTTACACGTGGAGGTGTGGGTGATATAAATAAGCCAGGAGTGACTTCATTCACTGTCTACATGGGTTATCCCCCATTTTGGGAAATTCCCCATATAGAGTTGCAAGCAGTGGTCTTAAGAGAGCAAAGCTTGTTGTACAGAGCAGTTGTTTGTCAGGATTCTTTGAGATCATATCACTTGCGGTTTATACGGAATAACCATGGTGTACACTTCTTCACAAGTGATTGTGTATGTATGAATTTCTTCTTTTATATTGATGTAAGACAATCTGGTGTGGTTTACACTTGCTTCAAAATAGATACAAAAGTTGGAATACTGGTTTTGTATATATTGTCAGTTTGTCCCTGTGTGTAGAAATGACAAATAGTTTTTTTGTTATAAGATTCCCCAGAACAAATTGTGTGTGAGGGTGAGAGCTTCATTTGTAATGTTTGGGCCTTGCTTCAGATTCTAAACATATTTGAAAAGTTAAACGTTTATGTTGGTAGGTATGCTTGTCATAACTGACTGTGTGAGCAGTGTAGCAGTGATAGGGTAGCATTGTGGTCAAAGTGTTTGCTCGTCAAGCCAAAGACCAGTGTTCAATTCCTCACATTAGTACAATGTCCATTTCTGGTGTCCCCCGAAAGTGATATTCCTGAAATACTGCTAAATACGGCAAAAGGCCATACTCAGTTTCTAGTGTAACTTATTATTTGTCTTTATCAAACCAGACTATGTCTTGGATAATTTCTATCCTGCATTTTAAATCATTGAAGTAAAACAATAAGTTATTGTAGTATTATCTTTGTTACTTATCATGCTGTTGTTTGTCTGTAACCTGTTGACATGAGTTGGATCAATAGGTGTCATTACAAGATTCAATTGCGATACCTTGATGAGGAAGTAACTATCAGATATTATCTCAAACTAGTGTCATTTGGAAATATCTGCGACTTAAATGCGCAGGTAAAATGTATCATTCAAGGGAGGAAAGTACTCAGCAAGAATGTCTACATGAGACTGGTACCAAAGTTTATACGTTTGATGATGGTTGTTTTGTCATGTCTGTGAAACCAAGCATTTGACAGGCAGTTCATCATCTTCAACAAGATGGAAGAAATTTATTATCAACTGAAAATGTCAACAACATGTATGGAAATACCCAGAGGACTTTGCCTATCAGGGCATAGACATTAATACAACAGCAGAGGGTGTTATTGAAAATATTCTCCTGCTGAAGTGGAACATTTCAAAGGCACTGGACCTGAAAACATTCAATTGATTCTTATCAAGTTTGCTGCAATGATATTTATATAGTGATTAACATAACATGTATGAAATGTGAGTACACACAACTACCTTGTTCCCTATTGATTTTTGTGGAAAAAAAGTCTATTTAGCGTTTAGTGTTAAGATCCGGGTTTGAATTGGTCTTCAGCAACTCAAGCCTGTTGTCAGAGGGGATTTGTAGAAACAAGTGGTCAAACTTGTTGATCTGGGTGATGCTTGTCATTGTATCTCAATTTCTTAGATTGTGGCTCTCAATCACTAGATTGTCTGGTCCAGATTCATTTTGAAGTTAGACATTAAACTTGTGGTAATATGATAATTGAGGCATAAAGAAACAAAGGAACAAAACATACTCATCTTCCAGTCTTCCAAATTGTCTATTTACCAAAATGTCGGCCTTCTAAATATGTTACTATATTCTTAAGGATAGACTGAAAGCAAGCGCAGCGCTGCTTATTGATTATAGGCAGATCATATAATGTCAGTTCAAATAGCCTGGGGCAGACATACCAACCTTTGGAAAATGAAGGAAAAGTGCCATAAATCACACGAATTACTATATAGGTACAGCGACATGCATCACATGTAACGCTGTTTTACCTGCTAATGAGATAACTGCAAGTTTTACACTAATCATCGTGGTGATTTGAATGTGATCAATCACAGCGGTCCTTCCTGACAAGAGGCAGGAAGAACATATAGTGTGCGGAGAGGCAGACTGGCCCATGCTGTACACAGGCTGCTGCTGTGGTCATATCAACATGGTGTACTGGTCCTGCTTACCTTCTCCACACACTTCTACATCTGTGTTGTCTTCTAAACCGTGGTCACAGTCCTTGTTAACTCAGTAGATACAATGGACAACAAGAAGAGTGTTAGGTCACAACAGTCCATCAAACGTCGTTTCATGAACATGTAAGTCCTCTGGTCATAACATGGTCATGTTTTCAGGTAGCATGTGGTGATAGTAACCAGGAAGTCATAAAGAAACACATATTGTTTGTATATGTCACAGTTTGAATTGTCTTTGATGTTCAGGTTGTAATTATCCTATAGTCATGGTGGGTGTTGGTAGAAAAAGTGGCCTTCGTTGTCATCTTTGATTGAATGCAATTGGGAGTGATGGAGGCAGCTGTAGCATTGATGGAAGAATTGTAATTACTCTTTTGTTTTTAACTGAGGAAGGTCTTTCTATACCTTTACAAGTTGATACCCATTGCGAAGGAGTAGCCTGTTGTAACTGTTATTGTCTGCACAAGATGTAAATATGTCTTCAGTAGTTTTCCAGTATGTTGTTTCTCAGCGGGATAGTGCATGCTGATGATAATAGTTCTTGCATATTTTTTCACTTGTATGGGTAATGATAGTGTAAATTTGTTTATGATGTTCACTTTTATGTCTAATGACAGGTGTTGTTATGTCTTGTGTATATATTATTTTTGATATTGCTCAGATTGTTACTAATGACAGTGTTAGAGTCATTGTGTGATAGTGAATATTGGTCAGATTGCATGGCATGGTTGACACAGACATGTCAGAATGATTCTCTATGTGGATTTTAATGCCATGGCTTTTATTCTGTCTAGTGATATCTTTAGAATGATGGTGTTCATTAGTTCTTTGTGCGAATATATCTTTAACATTGTTCCAGTCTCTATGGCAGTGTATTTTAGTGTATGTGTTCCAGGTTTATATGTAACAATAGCTTCAGAGTGACTCTGTCAGTGTAAATATTTGTATACATGTGTGTAAATATATGTCCACTGGTGTAGACATTGCTGTTGCAAAATGCCACTTTTCACTAACAGCCTATCCATGGAATTACCCTGTTCAATGTATGATCAAAGAACCTGTCAAGGGAGATGTGTTGGAGTATCAATAATGTTTCATCAATTAGACCACTCTCTATGGGATGCAGCTGATGTGTAGATGTTGAGAGTCATCACCAAACCAACCCAATCAGGCATCACAAACACATCACATATTACTTGGATGTAGGACTCCTGTGTGGCCAGTTGCACTTACAGCAGTTCTGCGACCTGTTGCAAAGTGTTCACTTCGTCCTATCATTGATTGTGGCCATGTGGGCATTGTGATGAAGTTACTATAGAGATAAAGTGGGAACAGTGCCAAAATGCTGGTTTGTTATTGTTACATTAGTATTTATTTTTAAACTTACATTTTAAAATTGAAATTTGTGGACTGTAACATATGTGTGTCTGTTTCAGACTTCATCGCGACGAGTTCCAGACCCACAAGCGACAGATGTCTGGTGGAGGAGGTAAGTTTGTGTTCCTGTTTTAAAGCACTGTTTCCACCTTAACATTTCCACATCCCATGGGAATCGGTGTAGGATATTGTGACACCAGTACCATATGCTCATCCTGCTTGAATTTAAAGCAGTTCTACAGGTTTAATTTAAATCCTGGTACCCCATACATCCTGAGCTTTTATTCAAGAACAATGTATGTTTAAAAATAGTTACGTGTGTCATGTTGTGATATTGCCATGTGGTTGTAACCATTCACTCGCATCTTTAATATTTGTAACTGTGTGAAATGTTTGATCACCAATAGCTGTGGATGTTGAAGAAAGGATATAACAGCACCAGGGTTTAACTGGTATGGCAGTCTCACGTGACATGAAGTCCTGTTATTGACATACAGCTGTGTAATTAGACCCCCAGATATGATATGTGTAGATTTACTTCCTAGAGGTTTGTCCTGGTGCCAGGCACAGGTGTATTCATAGTTACCATCACATGGATAGGCCGTGAATAGTGATATATGGTAGGTTGGATAGTGGTCTGATCAGACTTTTTAATGTGATATATACCCTTTTGTGATTCTGACATTAATCATTGAATATTTCCACCGTACCCATTCTGGACACTGGAAAGGACTCATTACTAACCAAACTGTGGAACATTTACCCATTACGCATTCTTGACACTGAATAGTTCCCCCTTTCTGATTATTGACAAGAATAATTCTCCTGTACCCATTCTGGACACGGGAAAGGACTCATTACTAACCAAACTGTGGAACATTTACCCATTACCCATTCTTGACACTGAATAGTTCCCCCTTTCTGATTATTGACAAGAATAATTCCCCTGTACCCATTCTGGACAATGGAAAAGGATTCATTGCTGTCTAAACTCAAAGTGTTTAACCAGGGTATGAAACTCCAAAACATTTCAGCAAGACAACAGGGCTGGTTAGATGTAACTTGCGAGCCCTTACTAAAACTTACCTGCCCGCAAATAATTTAGGTTTGACAAGCAACATAATTTATCATCCAATTGGAATTCATCATATATTTTTAAGAGTGAATTGATAATGATTTATTATCCTGAAATATGATGAATACCTTCATATACATGTCTAAATTTTAACCTGACTGTTAGGCAGATGAATTTGAGAATCTGGCAGTCAGTGTTGAAAATAACCCGTCCGGGGCGGTCGGGCAGGCAGGTATTTTGAACGCTAGTTTAACATTACCCTTTCTTGGAACAGAATATTTTCCCAGTACCTATTATCGCCAATAAATTACTGTGTACCAATTCTTTATTCAAGCAAAGTACAAAGTAATCCATTCCAACTCCAGGAATGGCCCCTACCCCTTCTTACAATGGTTATCTACAATTATCTTTTGCAAATGAGCATCAGAACTCTTTGGAGGTAAAGCTGTACTCAAGGTATACTGTTTGTCATACACGTAGGATACAGACCACCATGCTAGATGTGTCATGTACCTAGACCTCAGTCCACTACGTCTGCAACCTTAGTACATGACAGTCCACCATGCTTGATCTATGAAACACCTTTCATCTCACTAACCTGTTATGCTGACAGTGTTTAAATTAATGAAACTCTCTCAAAGCACACTTGACATGAAGAGGAACAAAGTATTTTATACAAACAGCCTTTTTATAATGTTTAAGCTTGCACATAACCAAGTAATCTTAGTTGATCAGATGTGTACTAAATGTCATCAGTTTGGTTTTGAAAGTGGAAGACATTGAATATAATTGTATATATACATCAGATACATACTTCCAAGTAATAAGCAAAACATACAAACTGAAAACTGTTATGAAAGCTCTTTTCTTCCCTTCAGAAGGTTTCAATGAAATAATGAGTGTTTTTATCTTATCTGGCTGTGGAAAACAGTTGCATTAGTCACCCAGCATACGGTGCAAAACAGAATTGGTTAACAATAATTCACAAGTCTTGATGTAATGTAAATGTCACCAGTGACTTTGCTGATAACGTTTCCTCGTACCCCAAAAGCATGGATTACTTCTCACAACATTGATCACTGAAAGGTCAAGACTCTATTATTTACAGACCGTCATGGTATGATATGGCTAAAGGCAACATTGAACAATATGGAAACCAACAAGACAACAAGTTTGAACAAGCATGTAGACTCTTGGATTGTTTTGCTTTTTGTATTGTACAGTTTTCTTAAGACTGGCATTTTATAACAGTTCCAGGAATGCGGGACTCTCAACCTCATGACCCCCTCTCCAGTGGTGCCACAGCCTCCACAGGCTCCAGCGGCACCCCCAGCTCCCCCAGCCCCACCCGCTCCACCAGCTCCACCACCAGCCCCGTCTCCAGGAGGTGCACCCAGAGCACCCCCACCGCCAGGAGCAGGTGCCCCTCCACCTCCACCTCCACCGCCCCCAGCATCCAATGCACCCTCAGCATCTAATCAGGGAGGGCTAGCAGCAGCCTTGCAAGGAGCCAAACTGAAGAGAGTTGCAAAGGTAGGTTGTGCGCGCTTTATAAATATCCAATAATAAATAATAAAATAAAAATGTCATGATTAGAACAAATGATCAGGGTCAGATTTTGAAAAGGATGTATACTCAAACATTACTTTGGACACTTTATCATGAAAATCAGTATATCAGTTAATGGTAACCTTCATAGCACAGGGATCATCTCAGTTTCACACCTGGCTGTAATTACAACATCTAGTGTTACAAGAAACACGGGCAAAATACTATAGATCATAGTCACGCTTCAAGTTTTTCAAATAATTTCCATGCCCCTGTGGTGTTAATACATAGATCAGTGATCAGATCATCGATAAGAATAAGGATTGCGTGGTATATTATTACTTTAATGAAATGTGATGGGTTTTTTTAAATAACATCCTTTTCCCCATATAAATACACATTAATGAAATATAAGGTCATTTTTACATTTTTACATTATAACATCCTCCTGTATAAATACACCTGTATTTATATGCACAGAGTGGTTTGTTGGATTTTCTTGATAGTAATTAATGCTTCAATCAAAACTTTAGACTCCTGGGTATCCGATATCTAGATATTGTTTTTGTCCCTGCTGAATTAACCGGTGAATGGGAGGATTGAATCCTATCGAGTTAGGATCAGTAAGTCAGTTTGCAGTACGATCAGTATCCTAAAACAATAAGTTTGAATCCCTTTGCTGACCTACTGCACTGAATGCCTGTGTATTGCAGCCTGAGGAGACAAGTGGATCAGGCAGCGTGGGAGACAGAGACAGCAGTGGGGGCATGGGCACCTTGGGTCGTACTTCTGGTGGGGGAGGTGGCGGCGGCGGAGGTGGTGGCGGTATGGACAACATCATGAGTGAGATACAGAAGAAACTGGCACAGAGGAGAGCAAAGGTAGATAATTCTGGACATTTACATATCATTATGCTGTTGTTTGACCAGTGTTCATGTCACTGAAGCTGATAATTTCTCATCAAGCACTTCAATGACTGTTTATTTTGCCATTAGGTTTCAATAGAGGATCTCTATACTGTTTACACTGCTAGCAAGATGTTGGGACAGGCAGTTAGAAGCAGTTACACTGGTGGTGGGGTAACCCAGTGTGTATTTCCTTATCCTTCAGAATACATAGGTTTTATTCCAATGCATGTTGTATACAGTATTCATCATAGTAAGCGAGGCATGGGGTGACCTAATTGTTGAAGTGTCCGCTCATCACGCTGAAGACCCAGGTTCGATTCCCCACATGGGTACAATGTGTGAACCCCATTTCTGATGTGCCCTGCAATTATATTGCTGGACTATTGCAAAAAGCAGCTTAAAACCATACTCACTCACTCACTCACTCATAGTAGGCACCTTTGAGGCTGAACACAAGTTAAGTTTGTCACCAGTGATCAAGAGGTAGAAAACAGTTCACATGTCAATACAATGAAATATCTTTTGATAACTGTTACTTGGTAATTATTTGATCTTTCTACATTGTTGCATTTTCTGTAAAAACAATTACAATATTCACTGGAAAATGCACACTGTGATGTACATATTCAGGCTTAGGATGGGGCACATATAAGAATTGCCTACAGATAGTCCTGGTAGTTTGTAAGATTGTTGGAGTCAATATTCAACCTGCATGATAAAATCTGCCTTTCAATAAGTTCATGCGGTATGTCACTGTTTGATTGTAACTGGCATTAAGAATTCAGGTCATATATCTTATGCACAAAGAATTGTGTTGAGTTCATGTTTTACCTGAATCATAAAACTGCCATTATACATGCTATATCGGTATTTCTTGTGACCTGTGTAAGTTGGTCACATGGTGTGAAGCCAATTCCTAATGGTCAGTGTGGCAGCCATTTGCTGTTTACTATTGCAACCTTAATGAGTGGCAGGATCTTGAACTGTTATGATGTGACTAAAATACTCAAAACACTGATAAACCAAACTGATATGGGGTCCTACTCTTTGGGGTACAACACTGATAAATGTGTCACTCTTCTTTTCATTATGATTTGAATGTTTCCATGTTATGATTCAGGAAGAAGGCAGTGGGGGGTCAGAGCCAGCAGCCACGCCCCCTGCCCCAACCCAACCCCAACCCCCGCAGGCGGGGATGCCGGTAGAAGACCATGGGAAAAAAATACACCAGCACAAGGCAATGGAAAGTTTGTTAATGGATCAGGATCTCCTAAGCCGCTCAGAAAGTAAGTAATTACTTCATTTGATTCCTGGTAATCAACCTCTCCATGGACATACAGGAAGAGGAAAAGACCCAATGCTGGTCTTCAGTAACCCATGCTTGTTAGATGTGACTATTGGGATTGGGTGGTCAGGGTTGCTGACTTGTTTGACATATGTCATCATATTCCAATCAATGCTCATGCTGCTGATCACTGGATTGTCTGGTCCAGACTTGATTGTTTACAGACATCCGCCATGTAGCTGAAATATTGCTGAGAGCGGCGTTAAACAGCAAACAAACAAACAAATCCCTATACTTCTCTCAAGAGTTAAAAAGATGATTGTGTGAGTGGGTGGTATCGTTTATGGTATCAAACTATTGTTTTCCTGGCCAACAGTTTATATTTTACACTGTCATATAGAAAGAGTATTACTCACTTGGGTATGAAATGACATTTACACTCTTCCTCACTCACTATGTATTAATCAGCATTTCCATCTTGATGTGGTAGGACAGATTATTCGGGAACATTTTGGGCTGTCATCCTGATGGTTTGATTCCAAAGATGGGTACAAGGTGTGGGACATATTTTTGGCTTAAGGGTTAATGGTAGCCAAGTAGACTAAGGTGCCATGTTTTGTTCTGCATGGCTCCGACCCTCCAGGCTGGTAGAAACGTGATCATTGATTTGAATAGACATTCATACAGGTTGTGCTGCTACGTTTGTGAAAACAATACACATCCTCGTACACATTCACCAGAATGACGACTATTGAGACCTACATTACACTGAGTTTTCCTGCTACATGTTGTGCCCTTTATATGACATGGTATAACTGAGTTATCAGTGCAGTGGTTTACCAAACTCACTCTCTCAATATTCCTTGTTTACCCTTCCTGTTGTGATATCAGAAAAATGCTTCTGTTTGTAACATAATAAATACCGTTACTCACTGATCACTGTTAATTAAAAGGTTGTAGATTGTGGCCTGTATTAAGCTCAAGTATTACTGTTTGTGTTTTAAATAACTCATGGAAACATTGTAGGAAAAATGTTTTAGACTACATTTTAAATTTTGTAATATTTTGTCACTTGGCTGCCTGAAAGTTACTGACATAGCGTGACAAACATTATTTGTTGGCATTCAAGTGAAGTAATTGTGACTGTATTTTGTTACTTTCAGACGCAATCCTTCCCTGACAGGTCAGGAGAATTTGAGTATGGCCGTAAATGGATCCTCAGGAGATTTGGAGTCCTTGAAACAGGAGATTCTAACTGAGATGAGAAAAGAGCTGCAGAACATGAAGAAGGAAATCATAGATGGTAAGTGATAGTGTTTTACTTAGATATTGGGCATTAACACAGGTGAACAAGTTGTCCAAGGTGCAGCCCAGAGTTGCAGGTCTTGTTCATGCCAGAAACCTATGAGTTTGGTTTGTATCCCTGTTCATCCTGATTATGGTGCTGGGTTTGTCCACACCATTCTTGTGAGTTATGCATCACTTTGTCTTTCCTTCCACTTCAAGCTGACACACTGTGATATGACTGAAATACTGTTTAAATAGGTGTTAAAACCAGCTCAATCATTCATGCCATGATAAATGGCAAATCTTTAATGATAAGTGACAAATAAAATTCTTATAGATATTATACAATCAGCTGCATTGTTCTTATTGTCGTTAATAGAAGATGGTTTCAATAGGAATTTCTTATAGATGGAATAAAAAATCAGATACATCTTGTTCTTATTGTAAAGCACAGATAGAAGATTAGCACCATGTCATTCTGGTATGCTTGGCTTATAATGAGTTGCATAACAAATATATTCCAGCCTATTATTATTACCACCCAAATATGTATAAACTGATCTACTTGTTCATCAATGTTGATAATGATAAGCTATTTAACATTTGTATTTTCATTGATAAGGTGTTTAAACTAATTAATAATGTAAATGCATTATGTTAAATTCAAATGAATTTTGTTAGTGGCACAGTATGTATGTTCACTGACATATTTTACACAAGTTCTGTTTGCCTCATGGCCATTTATAGGGAATAAAAAAATTAAAAATAACGCATAGAAAAAATTAAAAACAGTTTATTGCATCAAGAGACATCAGTTGAATTTATTAGTGAAGTAGCCACTCATAAAAATGTCAGCTGTTATGAAACCATGTGTGACATCAACTGTTTATTTGACAGCCTCCATGGAATATTATATTTGTTTTATTTTCAACAGTGTTTTGGTTTCTTACAGTATGAACTGATACTCAAACATAAACCCTGGTTTTAAATTACTTTAGGTTTCACATACTAAGTTGTAACTTTTGAGAATAAAAAAAGTAGGAAAAGAATTGAAATGTTATTTATGTGTATTACCGGTAGTATTAACATGCAACTCAAAAGATGTTAAGGATTACCTGATTCTTTTATATTATCACAGTTAATCAGTTATGATGCAAGATTAACTATAGTGATATCAAAGAATCGTCTTCTTATGATTTGTGGGGCGATGGGTAGCCTAGTGGATAAAGCGTTTGCTCATCATGCTGAAGGCCCAGGTTCAATTTCCCACATGGGTACAATGTGAGAAGCCCATTTCTGGTGTCCCCCACCGTGATATTGCTGGAATATTGCTAAAAGCAGCATAAAACCAAACTCATACACTCTTATGAGTTGCATGAGCATGTCGACAGTTGGTTCTCTCTTTGGATCATCTCAGGATTTGGATCATCTTGCTAATCTTTGTTTCAGTAATCCGCCAAGAGATGGGACACAGATAAAGACTGTTACAGCAAGCAGGAATTGCTCATCATGTCATCAGTTTTTATGTCGTCAGTGTGGACGACGACGACACCCCAGCGTACAGTGCTGACACAGAGCCAGGGAACATCTTCCAACATTGATCATCATCTTCTCCTGTTCCATTAATACAACTACACACAGGACGATATACACATACACACCACTCAGCTCATACACACAGGAATGCATACTCATGTCTTCATCCCAGCCGTAGCATCATCGGATAATACTACTGGGTAACGCTGCTATCATCTTAGACCAAATGGATATAACTTATTCCGTCAACCATAACCAGTACTTGCTTCGCTTTGTAGATGTGTGGAATCAGAATACTCCCCAGTAAGCAATAGAAATATTGATGATAATCTGCATGTGAACATTGATGATAATCTGCATGTATCTTGCTTTACGGAAGAGGATCAAATAACCCTAGTATGTTTGCCCAGAATCTGTATACAAACTTGTTTAAGGGGAGATAATATGTATATAAAAAGACACCCCAGTACAAGTAAACAGTTGCAACAGAATATGAATGGTGTTAGTAATACAATAGCTTGCTGATACCACATGCTTCCTTGTTCCTTCTGTCAATAATAGTTCATGTAATTGTAATGTAGTCATCAGACTCATGGATCATTGAAAGGCTTTAGTAAGCTACACTCCACCATTACAGACATTGATTAACTGTAATTCAATAGTTGTCATTGATGAAATATATATACGGAGCATTGTAAAAAGAAATATGCTTAAATATTCAAGTGTGATGCATGGACTTTGATCAAAATGTAGAGTGTGAGTTGCCTAACACTGAGGGCAGTGTACATGCTGCAGTTAGTCTAGCATTTAGAGGAGCATGGAATGACAACAGACGCTGGAGGGATGAGATCTGCAGATCAAGTGCAATGTAATCGGAGCAGCAGTGCATTTTGGGAGACCACATCCGTCGATTTCCCTGTTGTTGTATTAATGGACCTGGAATACACATTGTTCTGATGACTGGCATAGTGTACTGGCTAGATGCGACCAGTCCGAACAAATGAAGCTTTGATGCTTGATAATGAACCAATGGAGAACTCTGCCAATTGTATAAATCTTTTCTATTTTAAGGTGTAATATTATCATGATCTTATTATGATTTCACTGCATGTCCTCCTTATGCTACCATTATGTTCGATTCAGGAAGAGCAGGTTTGCCACAGACGGTCACTCGATGTGTTCACACGGGCTCAGATTATTATGTGATTAGGTTTAAAGCAACAGGCTGCATGAAAGACGTACACCCCCATCACCTTTCAATGTATCATGTGGGGGAACCATGTAAGGCACTGTCAGGAACCTGTGACTGGGTTCATGCTTTCCTCAACATTAAGCACACATGCCGTGATATAACTGGAATACCGTTCCATGTGGCATTAAACCCAGATCCAGTCTCATTCAATATGTCATTGACATATTAATAATACAATGTTATCATTCAGGAATAAGTTTATCTAACTTTAATCTACAGCATTTATGTTTGTTCTTTTGTGACAGTTGTTCCATTTCCCTGTTTCTCAGTGTTGATTCAGGTGATTTCTGTGTTATCATAGTCCTTGGTAACTAGCAGCTGAAACAGGAAGTTCCACGGACAGCTTTAACTTGGATTGGCCATTCAAGAAATCTGTGTACAACATAAGGCTGATATAGGTTTTATGTTCACAGTGTTAGAGTTTTGTCACTTGCTGTCAAAGAGCATATCTACATTCTCAGTGAATGAGTTCTGTAGTTTGTGTGGAGGACATGATGTTAGTGTATGGAGGCCTTGTAGGGGTGTAGAAGTCAAATGAGATGTGTTGCGTCTCTCACTGATAGGATGACTCAACTCTCAGTCACTGTTGCAAAGGGCAGCTCAGATGCAATGACAATGCTGTAGTAATAGGAGCCTGATTAGGGCATCTTATTCTATCAAAGAATTCTAAAACTCTTTCAGTTTACGATACATTTTTAATAATTAATAATTAATTGATACGTTACTAAAGATCGTTTGAACCTATATGATGTGTTCTTCAATATCTTTTTTAAGACAGACACAAATGATTTATTGGAAATGTTTGGTGTACTGGTAATGTAAGTGGTACACATACAGAGCCTCAGAACCAGTTTTGAATGTATTTTGTGTGATTCACTGTAAACTGATAATTAGTTATGTAATTTGGGTAATTTAAAAGCAGTTTGGTGAAAATGTTAAAGATAATTTGAAACAATGAAAGACTTGACGTAGTGTTAGTGTTTGAGCTGCCCTGAGTCCTACGTAACAGCCATTGCTATGAGCATGTTGTATTCGTCAGTGGTTGATAATGAATCCAAAGAGTCTTCACATTCTTGATGGTTTAGAGTGTATGCTCATTTACTGTGTAAATACTGATGTGGAACTTTCTCGCACTGTTTATCTTGCATTCATAATGACTTTTCATGTAGTGGATGAATGACAAAGCTTATATTAATCCCTATCCCTGTGCATGCCGATTGTATTCTAGCTGCTAGAAGCTACTCCTTTGCTCAGTACTTGATCTCAAGACAAACAAGGGGGCTGAGGTCACTCATTCCAGCTTCAGTGGAGTTTCAGCAGCAGTAACAAATGACGTTTAAATTTTAAGCAAGTGTTTCATGAAACAGACTTTCTTTAAAGGAAGTATGGCTTGTTAGTTTGCTTAAATAAGTGAAACATGGACTTGTAAGATCAAACCAGTTATATTTCTGTTTATGGTTTTCTTTAAATGTTTGTGAACTTGCTATCACTCAGTGTTCTTACATTGATAAAAGGGGAGATTGTGTTCTTGCAAATTTTCAGTCCAAGCTGGTCGTCATAGTCATTAAAAGTAACCTTTGTGTGCTGACTGAAATTTCTGATACTATTGTAACATTGGTTAATTGGTTTACCACAACTACACATTGACACTGTCTTAATTTCAAACTTAGCATTAACTGTTAGTGTTGAAAGGGGATGGTAAGGGAAACGAGACCATGGATTGTGCTGAAAATCATTGTTTTCGGTTTCACACCACATTCAGCAATGTTCCCGGTATGGGACAGTGGTCTGTCAATAAACAAGTCTGGACCAGACAATCTCACTCTTTAGGAATGGAGGCTTTCACGCATTCACAATGACCTGCCATAATACTGCTTGGAGTGGTAAAGCTGTGATCATACAGAGTTACTTCCCTTGTACTACACAGCCATGAGAACTTGTCATGATGTATGGTTGCCTCAGCCCTGTCACCCATAGAATACATACACGCAATGTAATTAACCCTTACAGTGAGAACACTGACATGTCACAAGTAGGTGCTATGCTCCATACTAACTATAGAGCTCAGGTGGCTTAATGTTCAGTAACATTGCTCATTTAGTTTTAGTCAGTATTGAAAATGAAAAGCTCTTGCTGTTAAGCTAATACTTGGGCAAGTCATTAAAATCCACAGTCATGCCAATTGTAATTAGAAACCATCATCATCTTAGATATCAAATGTCAGTCTATCATTGATGATACATCTGTGTATATTTAGGCCCAGCTCTGCTGAAAATTTGTTGATTTCTTCAAATTAAGGATAGCTTTTAACTGTAAGTTTTTGCTTCATTTCTGTGAAAAGAATCCGAGCTGATTTTTTAAAGATTATCTTTGCTAATTATGAGTCTTCCAGACCAGAAACAATCATTGACTTGAATGATTTATTGCAGCGTTGATATCACAAATGAGTACCATTGTACATGTGACAGTTTTTGTCCGACAATTCAATATTGAGGAATATTGATACTTAAGAAAAAATATTTTTGTTTTCATTCAAGATTTTCTAAATTTCTAAGAAAAATTCATTATTGTATTGTGTATTTATGAATTTTTCAAAAGTTGCTGTCATGATTTTTGTTATTGGCCAGCGTTCTTCAAACCAATAACTCGGGTATTTAGAACAATACACATTTCATATCTAGAAGCAAGTATTCACCAATATTCTAGCTTTTAAGTCGCTTGAGGAAATTGTTTAAATTATCATCATGTCCAATAGAATTTGTAGTTTGAACAAAATGTTTATGAATTCATCCCTTTATCCTTGAAGATGTGTTTATTTACTGATTTCTTGTGATGTTTATGAATTTTTTTTGCACATAATTTTCCTTATCAATTTAAGTATATGTTATGTATCTTGTAAATATTCACAGCTATTTGATGACTGTGCCTGTGTTTATTATCATTTTTGCATGATTGATATTTAACAAACTGTAATAACTAATCAAACTGGATCAACATCCCATATTCTTCTTATTATTACAGATATTATGCTCATTATTTTTATTTATGTTATACATACCATATATGTTCCCATTCAAGCCACTTTACACATTATGCAACAGTGAAACGGGAGATATTGTAAGGGAGATAACTCAGTCTCAATAACTTAATACTGGTCTCTTTGCTTGTTACTTAACTGTCACCTTTCCTCATCCTGTGCAGTCACTATAAGCTGTATTGTGCCTAATACTTGCATAGTAAGCAGATATTGTGATTATACCATAGGAACACAATTAGCAACTTTTGCATATAGCTGCCCCTTAAAGTTCAGGTTTGAGGGCATGTCCCATATTAGTTCAAAAGGTTCTTTTATGACAATGATATTACCATTTTCTACAGCTTGATATTTTGAAAGGGTTATTTTATGCCCGTGAAATAGTATATCCCGAAGTCGAACTGTGTCTAGCTGAATAAATAGTGGTTACATTGTTGGCGCTTTGCACCGAAGACAGAAGATTCCACATGTATATATACTATGTATATATATTGTGAAGCCTATTCCTTATTTCCCTACAGTAATATGGCAAGACTATTAGCATCAAACTATCACCCAAATACACTAGTCTACTTATTTGAATGTTTTCTCTTATATTCAGACATGTTTCAGATATGGTATATTAAATATTTACATTCTTTTATTTTGATTGCTAAGTTTCTTTGATTTTTTTTTTTTTTCGATTGATTTCCAATGTGTACATCTGGCCATGCCTTGAAGACTGAACTATATGAACTATCACTGAAATACAAACAATGTGTTCAGCTTAGACTTTTTAGTTTTTTGAAGTGCATAAGTAATTGTGAATGTCAAAGGAAGGAAGCTGATTCAGAAATACATTTACACAATGCTGCAGTGAATTAATTTGGAAATACTTGAGGGAAGCATTCACTTGTCTGTGATCATAAAAATAACCCAGTAACTCAACGCATTGATTTCTTCATGTTTGTATGTAGGAAACGCAAAACATTAGCCTTTGTTTGTCCAAACAAATCACCTTTTGTGCGTGCAAAATTCCATTTCTGGGCACAGCGAATGATTGGGACCGAATCTGTTTTAAGCTACTCAAAAGACATTATTCTTTCATATTACTGAACATAATCTGTTGTTCCATAACAGTTTAACAATAGAAATATGAAAGAATCATGTGATCCATAACCTCTTTCATATTACAATAATTACTAGTCATCCCATGACAATTAACTACAGTAATGTGAAAGATTTGGATGGTCCTTAACTTCTTTTGTGTAGTTTATTCAAATCTCATTTTATCACATTATGCAAGTATTATCAGGGGATAAAACTATATGCTCAATGCTCCTTCACTCAGTACTGTATCATAACTGAGATTCTGTGTGTCAAAATTCATTTCGGCTGATAAGAAGTACACCAAAAACATCAAAATCCTATTCTTCCATCAGTTTGGTAGTTTGAATAGATCGACTTTTGATTGGTGACTGTTGGGGTTCTCTGTGGAATAACTTGATGTCTTTTGGGGTAATGTATGGCACTCAATACCGATAACTGTACATACTTGTGTGTATATTTCATGACCTCATAATATAAATACAAAATATAGTAAGTGTGTGTCTTGTCTTTTGAGATGAAGGGTAGCTGATTGCCTAATGATTGGATATTAGATGTTTTGAGCTGATAGGAAAGGTTAAAATCCCATCTAAAAAGCAGTGTCTGATATAGGTTTCTGTTGCAGTACAATAAAACAATGACTTGATCTTTAGTAAATGATTTTGTTAGACCAAAGGAGATAGGTTCTAACATCTTTTTCCACATTTTTAATTATGAGAGACGTTGTAAAAGGTGTATTTTCCTTAATTATCATGGAAGCACAAAGTTCATGGATATGGAATGAGGCAAGAAGTGGTGGAGAATGGTCAAGGCTTATGCAATGGACTTGATGTGTCCTGTTTTAAAGAAAATGGGCTCCGATGAAAATTATGAACTTGTTGCAGCCAAAGATAAGCAATTTAGAGGTATCATATTTGTTTGATAGATCTGTTTTTTCTGTTTGTGACAAACAGTACCTGCTCAGAAAACTTGCCAAGCTTCATAGTAGATTTTGCATCAAGGCCAGTATTGATTGTTTAGCATGGTATCTATCTGATTTATGTTCATGTTATTGTATTAATAATGGACACACCCTTCAGTTATGTGCTGATACATTACCATAATACTTGCTATAGTCAAGGGACTGATGCTTCTAATTGAAAGCTGCTAGTAGACTTCAGTACTGAAAGGTAGTGGATATTGTATGGTATAAATCCTTATGTCCCTTTCCCTTCAAGGGTGCTGTTCCACAAAGGAGTCTTAGTGCTACAGTCCATTGGAAGTATTATGTCAATTCACTGACATTGTTAAAAGGACATTTTACAATACATAAATTGCTACATTTGTAGTCTATGTAAAAGTATGGAAGTTAAAATTTTCATAGCACTAAGATAACTTTGTGGAACAAGCCCCTGAGAAGCCCCCTGTTAAGTTGACACAATATAGGATCAAGACATATGAAGACAAATATTTCTGTACTTCACATGAATTATTACCGCTCCAGAGGATCCTTTGAGGTTGAGAGGGATCTTCAATGTGCTCATTCTACTACTTTGATCAGGAGTGTTACACAAAGCTCCATGGATTACAAAAGCCAAATTTATTGCCAGATTCTGGCTGCTAAGTATCAGTGTAACATCGAAGCATGTTAATATCATTACTGTCACTAATACATGTGTATATGTCTTTTGTATTAACCCCTGCATCAAAGGATTGCTGCTGCTAATTGTAGGGTCATACGTATTCTCTGCATGGCATCACTGCTGGACTTTGATATCAAATATACATGATTAAACCTCATTGTATTCAGTGTGCAGGTTTTACAACAGTGTAACGTCAACTGCTGAGAGCTAATTATACCCCCATCTCTAGGAGTCTAATGGCAGGAATTTCAACAACATACTAAAATGCATGTGTGGTTTGATCAGTGGAAGTTCCAAACACAAGGAAATGTTTTATGGTTTACCAATCTTCATTTGCAACAATTCCATAGCAACAGTGATAGCATCATGATTTGATATTTATTTATGAATTTATTTTATCAAGTTTTCGCTTTGGCTGATTGTAGACAATTGACCGGAGGCCAAAACTGTTCACATAAGTATTACATAAAGCTGTGACATCTGGGTGCTGCATCCTTCTGATATTTATGCAGTTTGATTATGTGAGTCATGTTATCATTCCAGTCCAAGTCCATAAGAAGGCTCACAGTTGCCTCCCTTGGTTCAAGGACACAAGAATGTAATTGCTTGAGAAGAGTCACTTAATATCCAGTGCTTTTGCTGAAAATGTTAAAGGATGTGTGGTTTCTCTAGCATCATAAATAATGTGGGTTTTAACTGAATGAAATTCCTGTAAACTCGATTTGCAGTTACTCAGAATTACACAATCGTATGCCAGTTCCCCCTAGCTTGCCATGTTCATTTTGAGATACCAGTATCTAGCATAAACACTTAGTGACAGACATCAAATGCTGGTCAGTGTTTTCAGTTAGGACCCAGATTAATTTGTGGTACAAAGGTGTACAAAGAATAGCCTTGCTACTTTTAGCCTTTGGTTCTTGGTATTTCTACACTATATTTCCTAGACTATTGTATATTTTACAAAGGAGGACAGGATTTTGGAATGCTAACTTTATGAACATTGTCTTTAATGAACCAATTTTCAAGACAGTTCATTTCTGTGGATTTTTTGTTTGTTTTTGTGTGTATGTTTCATTGTTTACACTGCTTTTTATTAAGATGATTGTATTTGTATTTAACCATCATCGAAAAATAAAATGTAGCATCTTTCATTTTCGTTTTTCTTAAATGTGAAATGCTAGAAGAGTGTTGAGTCAGAAGATCATAAAAGAGAAGATCTTCATTTTGATCAGCTGTTTGAGATGAAGACCTGAAAATATGCTCTATCAATGTCCTGTGGGAATGCCGGAGTCAGAATAGTATGTTCCATGCTTGGTGTGAGTCAGCTAACATATTCTTGCGATGACCCTACTCTACTGATCCACAAATGGGGCATATAATGTTCTGTTAGTCTGTCTCGTTCTATCCCTGAATAATAACATCTCTTCCACTCAGGCTTTGCAATGATGCTATATTCCTAAAAGCTGCAAATCCTGTTGCACAGGATCAGGTTCTCCCACCTCACTTGTGCTTATTTTCAATTTAAATGGAGCTGTTACTTTCTTTAAAATATATATATGTTTTCAGAGACTAAGCCGTAATATGTGGTTGTATCTCGCATCTGGTGTCCTCGTGGTTTGCTTGGAGCACATCAAGTCCCCATTATCTGAGTAAGGGTAGAGGTCTGGATGTACTGTTGGTCTATCATGGGTAATGTGGATGGATTAAAACGTCCAATGAGATGTAATAACAGCTACTGACACACAATTTCCTGTCACGGTGGCACTCTGACTAAAACACCACTATTTGGTGTAATGATCTGCTAGTGACCGGTTTAAATCCATGATTGGTCCAGATCCTTCATCTGACTATTCGTCAGCATCTTGCGATTGTCAGAAAAAGTCTTTAATCTCAAGCCTCATTTCTATATCTTCAAATGTTAGAAGCACTATCATGAACACTTCCCATTGCAAAATATGGACTTGATTTCTTTAACGTTTTACGCCACCTTTACCAGCAATATCAAAGCTTAGGACATACGGTACCCGGGTCTTTATACGTGGCGCTTCAACCACTAGGCACCCCCACCGGGCCTATTTTGATTTTACAGACCACGAACACATCTCGGGGACAAATAAAACACTGTGGAAAAGGGAAGAGGTTAATCCGTCGAAGAGGGTAATCCATCGGCTCACCACCTAGATCCGGGGCAGAATAGGTCTTCAGCAACCTATTCTTGTCGTAAAAGGCGACTAACAGGATCAGGTGGTCAGGCTTGCTGACTTGGTTGAAACATGTCATCGTTTCCAATTGCGCAGATCGATGCTCATGCTGTTGATCACTGGATTGTCTGGTCCAGACTCGATTATTTACAGACCGCCGCCATATAGCTGGAATATTGCTGAGTGCGGCGTAAAACTAAACTCACTCACTCACTCAAATATCCATAAGACCGTATCCGTGGTCCAATGGATAGTGCCTCTGCCCGGTGAGTGTTAGGTCGGTGGTTCGATCTCGTGGCCATGTCCATCCACAAATGTTAAAAGGTAGAACTTTTTGTTGCACACTAGGGCCCCGTTCCTCAAAACGATGATCGTAACTCCCATACTTTAACCTAGACTTACGACTGTCTTAGCGCTACGATTGATTTGAGGAACGGTGCCCAGGCCTTCAACATGAGGGAAGAAATCAAGGACTGATTGTCTCATAGTCTGTATAATGTGCCTTCAGTTGCACATCCAAGTGTGACTGCTGCATGGTGTCTCGGGGGCTACCAAAGTACAACCGACTTCTAAGGTCAAAGTGTACATAGTACAAGCAGCCACACGCGTCACTGTATCTAAGTAAAGTTCACTTGAACCGAGAAATCTCATCTTACCGTAACCTTAATTATCTCGCCCCTGCATACACCCAACAAGGAGAACAAACCATTTTCTGTCAAAAAGTAAATATTTATTAATATACAGATAACAGTATTTCCACTTAAACACAAAATATTCAGGTACATGCACAAAGTGTGTTCACTGGGTTTTTTCAACCTATCAACGCCATGTAATAGTTTACAATATGTAAACCCGAATAACTAGGTTGTTTAGGCTCAAGTAATTGAACAGTTACCGACAGTTAAGTGTTTGATAAAGGTTAACCCGTTAAATAGTAATGTTTGTCATACACTGTTATATTTGGCCTACATTGATAAGGCGACAAATTTGTCGCCCTGTTTGTCTCCCCGATATTTTGCTGTTGTATACCGTAATACATGTAAATATTATAAAATGGTTTATGACGTGTTCCTTCTTTCGACAGTGGTCGATGGGGTAGCCTAGTGGTTAAAGCGTTCGCTCGTCACGCTGAAGACCCGGGTTCGATTCCCCACATGGGTACAATGTGTGAAGCCCATTTCTGGTATCCCCGCCGTGATGTTGCTGGAATATTGCTAAAAGCGGCGTAAAACCAAACTCACTCTTTCGACATTACGGGAATTCATATACTACAGGGGCTGTGGGGTAGCCTAGTGGTTAAAGCGTTGGCTCGTCACGCCGAAGACCCGGGTTCGATTCCCCACATGGGCACAATGTGTGAAGTCCATTTCTGGTGTCCCCCGCCGTGATGTTGCTGGAATATTTTACTAACAGCGGCGTAAAACTAAACTCAGTCAGTCAGTCAGTCAGTCATATACTACATGTCTTTGGGCAGCTGTCATCTTGTGATGTCTTGTATTGCTCTTACGGGGCTTTCTTTTCTCCTCTGTCACAGACTTATTCTATATAGTCTTTGGATGGCAAACTTGCAAAATGAGTTTGATATGTTTAGAATGTCCCTAGTTAGTGCTATATTTAGCTTTTAGAGCACAATATGTTCACATCGCAACATCCGATATTGTTCATGATGTCACTATGTTACCATTAACCACAGCAAAGGGATCTTATAACAACCTCAGATTAAGTTATTATCTGGATAAATAGTCCCTTGAGGATTAATTAAATGGAATATATAACCGAAAAAGAACTAAAGCTGGAGTTTATTCACAGAAGCAAACATATCAAACAACTAGGGCTGTGCAATATTACCGTTATATACCGGTTCAGTATCTCGCGATACGATTATCGCGATATGGTTCCGATTCTGCAATATATTGGGCCATCCAGAACTAGCTCCATTTGAATTATCTGCCCTTGATTTCCATAGCAAAAACTGTGCTCTAAAAGTGCCAAATATACTTTTATTTCTGTTGGTTTCATGTAACATTTTACAAGTGGAAGTGTCATGCTAAGTGGCACCAAAATTGCCAAATATTCTACCAAATGCCTTACGTTTTGTGGGTTTGAATGGTTTCATTTGGAGGAATTAAGTGGCCTCAAATGGACCAATTTTTATTTGTATTTTTTAGTAGAGCCTCTGGCTCTGAGTGACCATTTCACAGTTCACAGTATTTTGGTATTTTTGTTTGTTTCATAATGGGGCATATGATATCAATTTATCATAAAGGCCTGAGTCATAAAGAATTGTAGGACTGTATAATGAGGTGAGGTGAGGTGAGGTGAGGTGAAATTGGGTTTAACGTCGTGCTTGAGAATATTTCGCTCATATGACGACGTGCATGCGTGTGTATGTGTATGTGCTGCTGCTTGTACTAGCCCAGACTTAAGCTGGTTTTATAGTGCTAGCCCACTGAGTCACCATGCTGCAGTGAAGCATGAATACCCCACTCAGACACATTATACTGACTCCGAGCCGACCAGTCCTTGTTGTACCCATTAGTGCCGAGCGCCAGGCAGGGACCAACAAGTGCCATATTTTAACGTCTTTTGGTATGACGCGATCGGGGATCGAACCCGCGACCTTCCGCTCTCCGGGCTGTATAATGACATTCCAGTCAAGGATGTTAGTTATTGGAGGTCACATGCGATTGTAATCTCAAGTAGTTCAACTAAATCATGCTTGTGTTTTATTTTGCAATAGTTAATGTTAACACATGTTTATATTGGAATTGACATACAGTAACAATAATTACATACTGCACTGAAGTGCATTCTGTTTAAGCAAACAACACCGACTATGAAAATCATGTTATATTATTGCCTTTATCATTCTGTTCGTAAAACGTTGTTGCAGTACATCCCACATTAAGGCTCTATATTATTTTATTTATCTGTAAACCACTGGCATACACCCATACACAATGGGGACGGGAGCCTGAAAGTATGGTGTAACAGCAACGGAGAAGATGATGTCGCACACAGAGAGCTATTATGGATTTATGATGTACACACTTGGGCAGAAATCTTCCAGTCAATTTATCACAACATGTATTGCAATATCTCTTAAATTATTGCAATATATCGCAATATGAAAATCAGGGCGATATCCAGCCCTACAAACAACTGACTCATTTTGTAGTGCTGAATATGGTCGTATGACGTTAACAGGTGCGTCCATCTTCAAGATTCTGCCATACACTCCTCAACGTATCACATAAGTATCAATAATTGAACACAATGTCAATATCTGGTGTAACTTCCGCCAACTGCAATAACATCCCTGACCCTCGTCATTGACTGTGTTAGACGTTGCGTTTCATTCTTGTTGGAGGGTTTACTCCAATACATAAAGGCTTTATGCTGGAGTAGGCTATTTGTAGGGGATTTCGGACCGTTTTGTTGGACAAACGACGAATTGCAAACCACCCCATTTTTAACACGTCACTTGAAGCGGTGAAGTCATGTGATTCTGAGGTCTAGCACTGTATCCTCCCTAGGGGTTGTGACTTGTGCTCGATCTGATCGCTAATGGTAACATATCACATCTTATCATTAACGTCATTAGTTTAACTTCCTTTAGAGGCATTTAGAAGCTGGTATGATGAAGTGGAGCACTTTTTATGGATAGACAACTTCTTTGTTGCAGTAGTAGTTGCGACGTTTCGGTGTAGATCCTAACACCGTTCCAAGCAAATGATACACAACAATTGCACAAGGAGAAATATATACATGGCGGGTATTGGGTTTCACAATAGAAGAGGTTGATGTACGGTGTGTTGACATGAGACTTGTTGTTCAACCTCTTCTATTGTATAAACCCAATACCCGCCATGTATATATTTCTCCTTGTGCAATTGTTGTGTATCATTTGCTTGATAACGGTGTTAGGATCTACACCGAAACGTCGCAACTACTACTGCAACAAAGAAGTTGCCTATCCATAGAAAGTGTTCCACTTCGTCATTAGTTTGCTGATGTTTTTTGGCCAATCGGCTGATAGTCGATGGATGACAACCAATGCAGCTCTTGCAATAGCCCTCAATCACATGCCAGCATTCCGCAAACCAATTACTTGCCATCTTTGAGCAATTGTCAAGGTGACGAAGCCCCTTATTTGCTCATCAACAAGGACATCAGTTTCCCAAATTATCGAGCAAAAAGAACAGTTTACTGAAACTTGATATTTGCTTTATGATGGATACACAAATAGCACGTGATGCTCGCCCTTGATCGTAGCACTTGCACATTTGAAATAAATGTATGGTGCTCCCGAAGGGTCAATGTACAAACGAACATAATTATAATATTAATGTATATGGTTATAAGGGCGCTGTGATACCTTTTCCCATTCATTGACATCCCCACATTTCAATGCCATTGATGAATGGTGAAAAATCAAACGCTTAATGTTACTTATACTTCAGTACGATCGTACCGGACACTTTTCGCACTGTTCCTGTGGCCTGAACTACCAGGCTTCAGAGGCGCTGATAAATCACAATGCCTTAAAGAACCTCTTTTTGAAGTACTCGTAAGCTACCAAGGTGTCTGTTACCATTGCAAGGTTCTTGGAAAATGTGTTGGAAACACAAAATTAATCGTCAACATTTTCGTTCGATTTTTAAGCCATTGATCTCAAACGGGCGTTAAACAACAAAATCCTACGTTTGTTTGGTCAGATGTTGTTTGCAAGGCCTGAACTATGGCTGCGAGTTCTGCTGTGAAGATACTGGAGTTTGCCCGGGAGATTGTTTAAGACTTTTTGGGGGGGTATGTAGGTACCAAAACCAGTAGTACTCTTCTGATTTCAAGCACATTCTAACAAATCCCAAATTAATTAAACCACTCACTAAATATCTCATTCATACAAAATTATACCAAACAATCTAGCAACAAAAACAATAATACTCTTTTTTACCATTTTAAAAATTGTTATAAATATGTATATATGTTCTTTTTACTTTATAACCATTTACTACACCACATCTATATTAATTTCAAAATTTCTAATACTCTTTACCTATTTCATATTTGTTTTTACCTTTTTAATTCGGCATCCCATTCAAATTTCCCTTAATACTCAGTTGTTGGGTGTTTTTTTGGGGGAGGGGGGTAGTAACACCACACTTTCAAAATTTCTAGTTTTTGTTCCCCTCATTTCTTGTATAAGTGTACTACACCGTCACCGAAATACCTTAGTTGTGCGTGCCACATTAAATAAAGCAAATAACTACTACTACCTTACTCCAAACGACACACCCCTGCTTTATTGATAATTGGGCTGTTTCATTATTCTACAGGGCAAAATATCATTTCCAACGCTGCCTACAATATTTTTGTTGGCAGTTTGGGGTGTAGGCAGTTTGGAACTGTAGGCAGTATGGAACCTAACCATTCTGAGCTCCATATATTATAGCGTGTTTAATGTGACGACTGTGGTAACTCCATACCTTAGCCAAACCTACAATAGTCTTAACCTTGGATCACGTTGTGGAACTCGGTATCCACACATTCCTTGTTTCCCAGCTGTGCCTGTCTGAGATCCGTGACTGGGCGTGTCTCCTTCTGCGCCCCCACACCCTTATTGGAAACCTTTGATAAATGCCACGATGTTATCTACGGTCAACAGGCACACTTATCTACGACACACTGACACACCGTAATCACACCGTCTTGGATCTAATGTCCATACTTGTCAATACACAATGTTAAACTGGTTTTGCCATTATCGTCAGGTTGGATTTATTGGCTATGGATTGTGTAACTCACAATGTCGAAGCATTTTTACAAATATATTTATTCACTAAATCTATGAGCTGTGAGCTTTTACGTTACTGACAGTCGCACTTTTAGTAATCATATGTTGACCAAAGACTTACAATTTGACCCCGAAATATGACATAATAACCGCCTGGCAGAATCACAAATTTAGAGTTCATTGTGAATATTAACACCGAACTAATTCTGGAACAGTTTGGAATTGGTTCATCAAAATAAAATGCCTTCTCACTTGACCATATAATGACTACTCCCCCGTAAAATATGAATATAGTGTTCGTCTTTGTTTGCGTGTGTGTTCGCGTCGTTAAACGTTAAACACAATGACGAGGAAGTCGGATAGTCATATGTCGTCACTGAATATGTCGTAAAGACGTGTCATTGAAGACGTCATGCAAAATATGTTGTCTCACATCAAGACGTGTTATCACTGAAGATGTCGTACAGACATATTGTCTCTGGCATATAGATTATATCACTGAAGAAGTTCTCGGGAGGTCTTTATATGCACAGTTACAATAAGCTCATTTACCATAACTAATGTTGTTGTTGTGGGAAGATTATCGGGGTCTCGCCAGGTGTCTGTGAAGAAGTCCAGTCTCCCCGCACAGTATACATTGTATTGTAACCAAGAACACTGCAGAGGTTATTTGCGAATCAATTCATGCGCCCCTCCCAAAATATTTCAGATGTAGACTAAAGGTTCATATTTTACTATAGGAGACTTTGGGTTGTTTTCGCCTTCTTTGTTAACATTAATCAGTAATTATTTTCACCTGTTTCACAAGACCGACATTTTTTTAGGGTATTAATGAAAAGGGTAACGACCCGTGTGTAATAGCTACTTTTTCATAAACAACAAACATCAATACATAAACCACTGAAATCTCATCTAGCTGAAAATAATAGTGTTAATAATTTCAGATCTGAAAAACGGGAACTATTGTACAGACGCCTTGTGCTCTAATTCATTACACAATAAGAAAGGAAAAAACCAACCCTAAAATATTAGCCATAACCTTTCCACATAAATTGTATATCACAAAATGTAATTTCAAAATCAAATAACCATTACTCTTTAAACTCTTGCCTTGATAATAAATCATTTAAACCTTGCTTACCCAGGGGCATCCTGCATATACGTGTCAACAAATCTGAGATAAGACGCCAAAAACACAAGGTCCAAAGCCACACCCTTGCTGTACATCAATGTTTAAAAATGTCTATTTGAACAGCGTCAGTGAGACAGGCCCCAGAGTTACCTACTACATCAGAACGAGGCGAACAGTGTTGTATCATTTTTCGGAATCCTGGTGCCAATAAATTAAGGCGTGGGGTGTCGGGTGGTATTAAAGCTTCTGTTGGCCTGGACATTTAAACACAATACACCGTACCCATGGCCATGTCCCCACCACTGTGGGTACTCGTTGTGGGATTATCCATTGCGCAAGGTAAGATCAATTGTTATATGATGGTAAGTTTGTAAGTTATGTCCGTAAAGTCAACTATTTGTAGTTAAATAGGTTGAGTTATTGACATAAGTTATATGCATTCCTCACGGAGTTTTTATGAAAATGAGAAAAATACTGTATATTATAAGCACACGGATTATCATTTTTGTATATCGCTTTCTCGTCTCGTGTTCTCGCTTTGTCGCGGCCGTATTTGAAGGCGAGAAAGCAATGTCCCATCTGGGCTTCCGTACGATTGAGGTACTTTATATTTTCATTTCGGGTTCTTGCCCAGAACAGTTTATTCTCCATTCCAAACAAGTACTGTTTATGTGTGAGAGATCTCATAGTCATTCAGTCACGCAATACGTCTCACAACTGTAGCATTACGTATACTCAACAAAAAGAGTTAAGGATCACCCCAATATTTAATATCTAAGTATTGTATGGATCATAATATGAACTATCATATACTTTAATTTTGAAAAGTGGGGGCTCCTTAACTTTTTTGACTGAGTATATTTAATGTGATTTACTATTATACCAATAATGGTTGTCACCCCCTTCAATTTTTTAATTGGAGAGGTGGGGGTGATGGGGGTTAGGGAGGGGGTGACAACCATTATTGGCATGAGTATATTTCCATACCTCGAAGCAACTGCACATTAAGCCCCCTAGTTATATTATTTGGTGATCTGGGTCGGAATTGGTCCTCGGCAACCCATGCGTGTTGTAAGAGACGACTAACCGGATCGGGTGGTCAGGCTCGCTTACTTGGTTCATGCGTATTGTCATATCCCAATAGCGTAGATCGAAGTTCGTTGTGTCAATCACTGGATTGTCTGGTCCAGATTCAGTTATATACAGACCACCGTTACATTGCTGGTAAATTGCTGAGTACGTCATTAAACAACAAACAAACAACTGGGTGTTCGGAGTTAGTGATGTGTGTCTAAACAGCACCCCATTCCACCCAGCTCGCCGACAACTCACTCGCCTTCGTTTTCCGTATCAGTGAATGAATGAGTTTAGTTTTACGCCGCACTCAGCAATATTCCAGCTATATCACGGCGATCTGTAAATGATCGAGTTTGGACCAGACAATCCAGTGATCAACAGCATGAACATCGATCTACGCAATTGGGAACCGATGACATGTGTCAACCAAATCAGCGAGTCTGACCACCCGAACCCGTTAGTCGCCTCTTACGACAAGCATTTGTAACTGAATATCAGTTCTAACCCGAATCTTTACGGGTTGTTTCCCATGTCAATCTGTTCAGTGGGGTGTTTGTGCAAGAAAACAACTGTGAAATGTGTTTTGATGAATATATAACTTAAAAACGACTTATGCCATTTCTATATCTCCAAACGTACCCTATTAAATACTTTGTGATATCGCTAGCCAACTTGTTTGTCAGTACTACACGTGGATGCCGCCCCGCTCTCCCCTCTCACGTGCTACACGTGCGATGACCCTGACGACCCCGACGACTGCACATTTGATGAAGTCACGTGCGAGCAGGATGAGGTATGTTTCACAAAAGAAAACGAGTGAATTTAGTTTCACGCCGCTTTTAGCAATATTCCAATTTCACGGCAGGGGACGCCAGAAATGGGCTTCACACGTTGTACCCATGTGTGGAACTGAACCCGGGTCTTCAGCGTGACGAGCGAACGCTTTACCCACCAGGCTACCTAACCGCCCCAAAAGAAAACGAAATATCCTGAAACAAACGTTCTTGTGCCTGCAGAATACTCCTGATTATACAGTGGCCACTACGAAATACCATACGAGACCATGCAACAGACTTTCTTAATTCATAAAATTACTTTTTTAAACTAGGATAATGATTGATCAGCAGTCAACGTTTGTTAGCACGATGATCAGTTGCTATGATCAAAAGGAAAGTAGCCTACACACCATTGTTTCAAACAAGAAATGGTTATCCGTGTTGATGTATTTGAAAGGGTTATCGTAGCTGTGTGCTTGACCTTAAATCTGTATTGTTTAGGAGTCCGTTTCAGGATAGTAATTAATCTTTGTTAATGCCTGTAATTGTGAGGTCAAACAAGTTTTCAAGTATATTGTCCTTTTCCCGGCAGCGTAATTGTTCGTGGTGAATATATAATGGACAAACATAGTTAGGGATATATGTAAATTTTGAAATTATTAATAATGATCTATTTATTCATTGACACACTGATAAAATATCAATCATAAAAATAGCAATATCCCTAACTTATTTTGTCCAGTATATATATATATTCCTGTAACAACAGAACTGATTTAATAGTTTCAGAATGGAGGATATGGTAAATTAGCCGAAAGTGGACATGGAATAAAAATTCTTTGCTGTATGTGTTATGTACCAATGTTGACCGCCTCCCCGACCGCGTCATACCTAAAGACGTTAAAATATGGTACTTGTTGGTCCCCGCCTGGCGCTCGGCATTATGGGTACAACAAGGACTGGTCGGCTCGGAGTCAGTATAATGTGTCTGAGTGGGGTATTCATGCTTCACTGCGGCATGGTATCTCAGTGGGCTAGCACTATAAAACCAGCTTCAGTCTGGGCTAGTACAAGCAGCCGCACATACACATACACACGCATGCACGTCGTCATATGAGCGAAATATTCTCAAGCACGACGTTAAACCCAATTTCACCTCACCTCACCTCATGTATCAATGTAAGCCGTTCCATAGTGTAACAAGGGAAATGCTCTTCTGGATGTGCAACGTCTTTGTTACAATGTATGCTACGTTTCGGTGTAGATACAAAGGTAGGTAGGTAGATAGATAAGGTTTTAGGGCGACCTTGGGCCTTAAAAGGCCTATATGCGCCCAACACTTAACAAACTGTTATATTTTTGTTCAGTTAAACTACGTCGTACTTACCCGCTTTAACGAGGAAGTCTAAAACAGCTCTTTGTATGCAATCATACATTAAATTATCGCAAAGTATTGCGTTCATTGAAAAAGTATTTTAGGTTTTGTTAAGCTTTCTTTCTTTTAGAGCCTTACATGGGTTTTCATGAGCTGGACATTCAATTGTTGATGCAAACATTCTGTCAAGCATTATCTCCCTTGTTCACATACTAACGTTTAAAGCATATCTGCAGTCTGTTTAGTATAGTTTGTGAACACCTGTATCGTTGTTTGTGCCAGGTGTGCTACTCCATATTAAGGAAGGAGAGAGGTCACCTTCATCCTCAGCTGGGATGTATGAAGAAAGAGGTGAGATATTGAAGTATTTATACACCTCCCAGCGCCACCTACCGACGTCAGTACATTTTCAGTCAAACTATTTAATCTACGTACTAGCAATAAATGGTTTGGGGACAAGAAGATGTTAATACTCTTTATTGTGCATTTGAAAAGCGCTAGTGAAGGACGATGCCAATCCTCATCCGACTCTATAAAAAAGTTAGTGTTTGAGGGTAGATGCTCTAGTTAGTTTCTACGCGGTATACTGATATCTGCTGGATATTCTCAATGCACCCTCGCACAATTGGACCTGTTCGAATCCCTCATTCGCCTCGATAATATCCTTAGTTTGTCACTCTCATACCTAGTCCTTGGCCTAATGGAAGAAAAGTGCCTATCTTTTAGGATTTCACAGCAGCAGTAAAAGTATTATCCAGTAATTAGTATGGCACCTCTCACCCTCCAAACATTCTTGTCGATGTGGAACTAGCCACAGATATACCCAGTCATGTCAGTTTCCTGCCGACAAAGTCACCCAACGCATCCACTGGATCAGAAAGATAAATCTCATCACGCTGATTCTACCTTATCTAAATCCCTAACATGTTAACTTCCGCTTATCACCTTCCAGACCTGTTATGAGTTGGAAGGCAACAACACCGACAGGTGCGACTCTGGGGCCTTCCTCGACGGTGACCGCTGTGCGTTCTGCTGCCAGAAGCCCCACTGCAATGTTGACGCCATCATTATGGAAGGTAACTCAAGGACTTCTACCTTGTATCGCAGTCAGATGTTTGCTGTTAGCTGGTTATCGGATTCACGACTCCACAAATTAAGGACAGACGTCCCATACGTCCTTATTTTAAGGTAGACCAACCTCTTATATGGGCGTACCCGTGAAGATCCCGGTTAGAATTGATCTTCAGCAACCCAGGCTTGTCGTAAGAGGCGACTAACGGGATCGGGTGGTCAGGCTCGCTGACTTGGTTGACACATGTCATCATATCCCAGTTGCATAGATCGATGCTCATGCTGTTGATCACAGGATTGTTTGGTCCAGACTTGATTATTGACAGAGCGGTGCCATATAGCTGGAATATTTCTGAGTGCGGCGTTAAACAAACAAACAAACAAACTTGTATTGGCGTATGATGCAGACATTATTATCACTGTGGATCAAAGAACAGCTGCATATACCGTTTTCGCTCTATAGTCAACATTTTCTGGCGCCGCCCTCTTCAAGTACCTCAATTCTGTGCATTCTTTAGTTCAGGCATCGGCTGGTCCATGTTCGAATCCTAGATTCCAACCCATGAGTGTAAACGGCCTGTGAAACACAGGTTCTTCTTTTTATGACTGATCTCGGACTCCAATACCGTAATATACTGAAAACAGTTCCAATTGAAGTCACACCCGCTCACTCACTGATTTGTGTTGTAGAGGTACCGACGACCAAGCCTCCCGTCACCGACGGGGCAAAGATAGCCGGAGACGGACAGACGGAAGGGCATCAGTGTTATGTGTGCAATGGCGAGACGGACAACGCTCTGTGCAGTCAGCCAGACCACCTCCACACCTGCCCCGACAATGCCGTGAGTACACGAAGTATGACGTCTGGACATCCAAACTGTCAGTGTGTTTATGTTGCGACTGCGATATTAACAGCGCACTATGTTCGTCTACAGACTGTTGGTAGTTGTAAAGGGTCCTAGTCAAAAGGGCCGCATCAAAAGGTCAAAAGGGCCGCAAACCCCTAGTCAAAAGGGCCGCATCAAAAGGTCAAAAGGGCCGCAAACCCCTAGTCAAAAGGGCCGCATCAAAAGGTCAAAAGGGTCGCAAACCCCTAGTCAAAAGGGCCGCATCAAAAGGTCAAAAGGGTCGCAAACCCCTAGTCAAAAGGGCCGCATCAAAAGGTCAAAAGGGCCGCAAACCCCTAGTCAAAAGGGCCCCATATAAAAAAAATGTATTATAGTGAAAGGTTATACATCTGTACAATGTATACTTTATACATACTAGTTCAGTTTAATATGATATTTTTTTCAATATCTGAAAGCAAATGCTGACAAAGAATAGATGTATGTGATGTTTATTTATTTCATCTAAGCATAAAAATGATTTATGATTATGACAAATACTTTGGCAGAGAAATGCATTTAACAATAGTACAGTACCACAACCCACCTGTAAGAAACTAAAATATTTCACAAAAACACATATCCCTTTGATGCCATATTTGTGTTTTGACAATCATGTAAGCTGTCACTAATCCCTAAGATTTCTTTGCTCTTCAGTGAATACTGTCAGAATATTTTAGAGTGTTGTTTTCATTGTTTATAAACCTTACAATTGAAATACATGTCTCAGTTGAGTTGACTCAGTGTCAATATGTGACTATAAAATCCTGGATAGACTTGTTTTGGATATCACTTCCCTCTACCATGGCAGTAAAGTGTGAGAAGTGTTTGAAAACTCAACGACGTAGTCCCATGGTTGATTCAAATACCTCTGAGAGAGAATCATTAAACTTTCTGTATTTTTCACTCTTTTTATAAATAGCCCGTAAAGCACTCAAAATGTTTCCTGATAACGCTATCTGATTTAGTGATATAATTATACATTTTTTATCAACAGAGTCGCAGGCTTTACGGAAATCTATAAATGCTACATAGAATCTACCCTTCCATTGAGATATATGTTTTTGAATAATCAATAAAGTGAGGAAAAACCAGCATACCACCCATTTGCTAATATAGACAGATTGTTTATTTCTCTGCCAAAGTATTTGTCATAATCATGTTTTGTTACTTACATGAAATAAATAACCATCACATACATCTATTCTTTGTCAGCATTTTCTTTCAAATATTGAAAAAATATCTTATTAAAAACTGAACTATTGTGTATAAAGTATACATTGTATAGATGTATAACATTTTACTGTAATACACTTTAAAAAAAAAGATCGATGTTATTGTGTTTTTATATGGGGCCCTTCTGACTAGGGGTCTGAGGCTCTTTTGACTTTCTGATGGGGCCCTTTTGACCTTTTGATGCTGCCCTTTTGACTATGGGTTTGCGGCCCTTTTGACTTTCTTGCGGCCCTTTTGACTTTCTTGTGGCCCTTTTGACTTTTCCGTTTTGATGCCCTTTTGGTGCCCTTTTGTCATGCGGCCCTTTTGACCTGTTACCGTTGTAAAGACTGACCAACTTAGTTTGTATATAAACTTATTATTATTTATTATTTATTCACCGCATTATTCACTCCAAGGCTTCATTATGAACAAAGCTAAATGCTGGGGTTCAGCCGGTCACTTTTAATTCTAAGAGTTTTATCTTATTGACAATTATTTTCCAAACTCCAGAATCTCTTATCCATGAAACTGAGCTTTCCCGTTTCTATTGCTGAGCCGACTTTAATGTGAGCTCAGTTGTGATTGTGGTAATCTTGTTGTTTGTATTTCATCGACTTTGTTTTCAATAGAAACAAAAGATAAAAAGCCTACCCCCGTCTAGATATTTCTGAAAAATTATTGCCCGAGAAACAATTTTGTATGCAGCCAAACCAAAGGTGATAGTACCAATCAACCTGTTTTTTTTCTCTGATTAACAAGTCATTGTTGTTTCACTAAATACTTTGTGTTGATATTTCCAGACCGCTTGCCTCACCACTGTACACTATGGGTCAAAACACTCCGTTATCACCAAGATGTGCTCCAAGTTACAGGTTAGTTGCATGTCGTCACGAATAATCCAAAGTGAGCACACACCCATATTTGATATAGCGTCTGGAAACAAAACAAACCAGAAATCGATGTTCGATGATGATGTATTAGATTGATGCGGTTGTCAGAGAAGCGTTTAGCATCTTGAGTGTTTCGGTAACGCCTTGAAAGCTTTGGTGAGTGAGTGAGTGAGTTTAGTTTTACGCCGCACTCAGCAATATTCCAGCTATATGGCGGCGGTCTGTAAATAACCGAGTCTGGACCAGACAGTCCAGTGATCAACAGCATGAGCATCGATCTGCGCAATTGGGAACCGATGACATGTGTCAACCAAGTCAGCGAAACTGACCACCCGATCCCGTTAGTCGCCTCTTACGACAAGATAGTCGCCTTTTTTATGGCAAGCACATAGGTTGCTGAAGACCTATTCTACCCCGGATCTTCACGGGTCTGAAAGCTTTGGTGGCTCTTTTGTCAAGTCTATTTTACTTCAAGAGTATACTTTCTTCTTCCCGTCAGTATATCTGAATGTGTGAGTGAGTTTAGATTTACGCCGCTGTTAGCAATATTCCAGCAATATCACGGCGGGGGACACCATAAATGGGCTTCACACATTGTACCCATGTGGGGAATCGAACCCGGGTCTTCAGCGTGACGAGCGAACGCTATATATGAATGATCCTTCTCGGTGTAAGTGTATAAGACCTTTTTCTAAATGTATGTTGGTGACCAATAGTTTTACAACATCATCGTTCAAGGTGAATGAGTCAAAAGCCTTGAAAAGGTTTTGTGTTGTAGACTTGACCCAACTTGATCATCCAATGCACATCTCCGTTGTGTCACGATAGAATGGAGCTGGATAATCGACGATTGCCCTAACCTATCCTCTGCTTATTGCCCACCAGACCTTCTGACGTGACTGTAACCCTGCATCTCCACCCAGACCTTCCTGATCTTCCAAACTCCGTGAACTTGACTCAAAAGAATTCTTTGCATTCCCAACATATATGGGCCAAGAGTTCCCAGTTCCACTAAGCAGTTTTAGGGAAGATGATTGTCAAAATATTACTTTAACACAGGCCTGTGATAGTTGTAGTCCAAATAGTCGTTTTGTGAAACTGTGCCTAGGTCAATGTTGTTGTTTGTTTTTGTTTTGTTTTGTTTTTTTGTTTGTTGTTGTTGTTTTGTTTGGGTTTTCTTTTTTTTTTTTTTTTTTGTGGTGTGTGTGTGTGTGTGTGTGTGTGTGTGTGTGTGTGTGTGTGTGTGTGTGTGTGTGTGTGTGTGTGTGTGTGTGTGTGTGTGTGTGTGTGTGTGTGTTTCATCATCATTTATTAGCAATAAAATTCCACGATTTTATACCTGTCTGGACTTTGGGCACCCGCTCGACCTTCAAACCCTGAGACCTTGCCCCCTTCGGTAAAACTTCTCTACCCACAGGAGCAGCACGGGTTATTCCGTGTTTGGTCAATAAACCTCCACCCGACTTTCCACCCCAAAGACTAACACTATAAGAGAGTGAGGACAGAGTCGGGTAAATCTTATACTCTTACATTATGGTGTGGTTCAAGTGTTATACCAACACCGTTACATTATGGTGTGCTTCAAGTGTTATACCAACACCGTTACATTATGGTGTGGTTCAAGTGTTATACCTTTGATAACACCGTTACATTATGGTGTACTTCAAGTGTTATACCTTTGATAACACCGTTACATTATGGTGTGGTTCAAGTGTTATACCTTTGATAACACCGTTGTTTCTGTCAACCCCAGTCATGCATGAACCTACAAGAAAACAATGACGACGACTGTTGGGATGAAGATGAGGCGTATGGAAAGTGTTCTTATTGCTGCGAAGGACCCGGATGCAACAAGGCAAAGATACCCGGGAGAGGTAGGCCTATGGATGCAGAGATACATCGGCGCTCAGTGTGGCTTTTAACTTGTTGATACTTTTCCTAAAACACTGGGCCTTTGATTGAAAATTGATATACATTGTAGTTTCATGTAAACTTCTCTGGGTCAGGCTCACCAGCAATACGTCCTGCGACGTGATTATTTCTATAAGACAGGACACAGTTAAATACTTTATTATTCAAGGGTTCCATGGAACGCTATATTACCTTGTGTATTTTATTTTAGGTTATGCTTTTAGATCGTTGTAGCAAAGTTTCGTTGTTGAACTAGGTGAGGAGGTCCCTGACAACCACGTTGCCCCTCCTCCCGGTGCCCACCAGGAATCAAAAGATAACCCACTAAAACCCGCAGGGCCTACCAGTAAGGGGCTACCCAGGAATCGAGGATAGTAAGACTTCCCAAGGAAGCAAGGAAACCAAGAATCCCTCAGGAAGCAAGGAAAGCAAGAATCACTCAGGAAGCAAGGAAAGCAAGAATCACTCCGGAAGCAAGGAAACCAAGAATCCCTCAGGAAGCAAGGAAACCAAGAATCCCTCAGGAAGTAAGGAAACCAAGAATCACTCCGGAAGCAAGGAAACCAAGAATCACTCCGGAAGCAAGGAAACCAAGAATCCCTCAGGAAGCAAGGAAACCAAGAATAACTCCGGAAGCAAGGAAACCAAGAATCACTCCGGAAGCAAGGAATCCAAGAATCACTCCGGAAGCAAGGAAACCAAGAATCCCTCAGGAAGCAAGGAAACCAAGAATCCCTCAGGAAGCAAGGAAACCAAGAATCCCTCAGGAAGCAAGGAAACCAAGAATCCCTCAGGAAGCAAGGAAACCAAGAATCCCTCAGGAAGCAAGGAAACCAAGAATCACTCCGGAAGCAAGGAAACCAAGAATCACTCCGGAAGCAAGGAAACCAAGAATCACTCAGGAAGCAAGGAAACCAAGAATCACTCCGGAAGCAAGGAAACCAAGAATCACTCCGGAAGCAAGGAAACCAAGATTCGCTCAGGAAGCAAGGAAACCAAGAATCACTCAGGAAGCAAGGAAACCAAGAATCCCTCAGGAAGCAAGGAAACCAAGAATCACTCAGGAAGCAAGGAAACCAAGAATCCCTCAGGAAGCAAGGAAACCAAGAATCACTCCGGAAGCAAGGAAACCAAGATTCACTCAGGGAGCAAGGAAACCAAGAATCCCTCGGGAAGCAAGGAAACCAAGAATCACTCCGGAAGCAAGGAAACCAAGAATCACTCCGGAAGCAAGGAAACCAAGAATCACTCCGGAAGCAAGGAAACCAAGAATCACTCAGGAAGCAAGGAAATTAAGCATCCATCAGGTAGTAAGGAAACCAAGAATCCTTCAGGAAGCAAGGAAATCAAGCATCCCTCAGGAAGCAAGGAAACCAAGAATCCCTCAGGAAGCAAGGAAACCAAGAATCCCTCGGGAAGCAAGGAAACCAAGAATCCTTCAGGAAGCAAGGAAATCAAGCATCCTTCAGGAAGCAAGGAAATCAAGCATCCCTCGGGAAGCAAGGAAACCAAGAATCCCTCAGGAAGCAAGGAAATCAAACATCCCTCGGGAAGCAAGGAAATCAAGCATCCCTCAGGAAGCAGGAAGCAAGAATCCCTCAGGAAATTAAGCATCCCTCGGGAAGCAAGGAAATCAAGCATCCCTCAGGAAGCAAGGAAATCCCTCAGGAAGCAAGGAAATCAAGCATCCCTCGGGAAGCAAGGAAATCAAGCATCCCTCAGGAAGCAAGGAAATCAAGCATCCCTCGGGAAGCAAGGAAATCAAGCATCCCTCGGGAAGCAAGGAAATCAAGCATCCCTCAGGAAGCAAGGAAATCAAGCATCCCTCGGGAAGCAAGGAAATCAAGCATCCCTCGGGAAGCAAGGAAATTAAGCATCCTTCAGGAAGCAAGGAAATCAAACATCCCTCAGGAAGCAAGGAAATCAAGCATCCCTCGGGAAGCAAGGAAATCAAGCATCCTTCAGGAAGCAAGGAAATCAAGCATCCTTCAGGAAGCAAGGAAATCAAGCATCCCTCGGGAAGCAAGGAAATCAAGCATCCCTCGGGAAGCAAGGAAATCAAGCATCCTCAGGAAGCAAGGAAATCAAGCATCCCTCAGGAAGCAAGGAAATCAAGCATCCCTCGGGAAGCAAGGAAATCAAGCATCCCTCGGGAAGCAAGGAAATCAAGCATCCCTCGGGAAGCAAGGAAATCAAGCATCCATCAGGCAGTCACTCACATGTAAGACCTGGAAGCACGTCAAAAGGAAAGCCATCGAAACCTCATTCCGGCTCCTGTCGTGGTAAATCCTGTGAGAAGCCTTGCAGGGGGAAATCTTGTGAGAAACCAGAGAAACCTTGCAAAGGGAAATCCTGTGAGAAGCCATGCAATGGAAAATCTTGTGAGAAGCCATGCGAAAATCCTGTGAAAAACCTTGCAATGGGAAATCCTGCGAGAAACCGGATAGACCTTGCAAGGGAAAATCTTGTGAGAAGCCATGCAACGGGAAATCCTGTGAAAAGCCTTGCAGGGGGAAATCCTGCGAGAAACCGGATAGACCTTGCAAAGGAAAATCCTGTGAGAAGCCATGCAACGGGAAATCTTGCGAGAAACCAGATAAACCATGCAACGGGAAATCTTGTGAGAAACCGGATAAACCTTGCACAGGGAAATCATGTGAGAAACCGGATAAGCCATGTAACGGGAAATCTTGTGAGAAACCAGATAAGCCATGCAACGGGAAATCATGTGAGAAACCGGATAAACCTTGCACAGGGAAATCATGTGAGAAGCCAGATAAACCATGCAACGGGAAATCTTGTGAGAAACCAGATAAGCCATGCAATGGGAAATCTTGTGAGAAGCCAGATAAGCCTTGCAATGGGAAATCCTGTGAGAAACCTGATAAACCTGACAAGCCTGACATACCTGATAAACCCGATAAGCCAGACAAGCCTGATATACCTGATAAGCCAGACAAGCCTGACATACCTGATAAACCCGATAAGCCAGACAAGCCTGACATACCTGATAAACCCGATAAGCCAGACAAGCCTGACATACCTGATAAACCCGATAAGCCAGACAAGCCTGACATACCTGATAAACCCGATAAGCCAGACAAGCCTGACATACCTGATAAACCGGATAAGCCAGACAAGCCTGACATACCTGATAAGCCAGACAAGCCTGACATACCTGATAAACCCGATAAACCCGACAAGCCTGACAAGCCTGACATACCTGATAAACCAGACAAGCCTGACATACCTGATAAACCCGATAAACCAGACAAGCCTGACACCCTGATAAACCCGATAAACCAGACAAGCCTGATATACCTGATAAACCCGATAAGCCAGACAAGCCAGACAAGCCCGGTAATGGGAGTGGTTGTGGTTGTGACAAACCAGACCACCCAGGTAGTGGCGACAAGCCATGCAACTGTGGCTGCTGTAACACCATCATTGTCCCCAAGGTGGACATCGACATCAAGGTGAGTGTCAGCGCAGACGTCATCAAGAACTGTACGAACCATAAACTGCGAGAGCTGCTAGGGCTTATCAAGGAACAACACTTCCACAAAGAAATCAGCCTCGGAGAACTCACAGGTAAGAATCAGTTTTTGAATATGGTCCCAGAGGCAATTAGGGTACTCTGGGTTAGTCATTCGTAATTTTGGTAATGGGTATTTGCATATTCCTGCGAGGGTAGTGGTAACATCAAGTGGGCGGATGACATGCGGTATACAATTACTTATTGTACATGTACAATCACAGGCAAATTGTAGCGCAAATATGGAAAGACTGGTCATTTTCTCTTTGCTGCGCAACCCTAAGTGCGCTACAATTTGCCTGTGGAACAATACACAAGAAGCGCTATGAGCTTGGTCTACACATAGTGGTAGTGGTATTGTTGGTGTCCACGAACCCTGCAACCAGGCTCAGGCTGAAACCTCATATTTCGGGATGAATATCAACAGTGAGTGAGTGAGTATGTTTTTACGCCGCTTTTAGCAATATTCCAGCGATATCACGACGGGGGACACGAGAAATAGGCTTCACACATTGTACCCATGTGGGGAATCGAAGAATATCAACAGTAATAAGGAGAGTTGTAGTAGTTGCAAGGCTCGTTCTGGAAAATTGACGGTCAATGTACAATACAACTGGTATTATCATTTGGGATTAGCTCGACGCCTCCAACACTTGAGTAGATAAAAAAACATCAGGAACAAGTATGTTGTCACTATTGCAGTGTATAAAACATAGCCCGTACCACCGTCCTTGACGGTCTGTTTTTGTGAAGGACGGTCTATTAAATCAGTAAAGCCGTCCTTTGGTCGGGAAATGGAACTTGACTTGGTTTGAACTTATCCATTATTTTTTCATTGTTTTAGTTTTTGGGACTGGCTGTGTTTGTTCAGGACAGGTCACTTTTTTGGACAGGCCATATTTCAAAACTATTGTATAAAAACTCTTATTCTTTTCGACGTATATTTACATTTTGGAATGGTTCAACTTTCAACACTTCTGAGGAGCCTATCTTTAAAAAAGACATACGTTTCTTTTTCAAGGTGAAGCGATTATTCCCAAGACAGATTCACCGCCGACATCAAGAGTCTCCACTACCATTCCAACCAAGTCGACGACACTGACTACGACTGTCGCCCAGACGACAGTTTCAACTACTACATCGACTACAACAACCACGTCTACCACGACAACGCCAACTCGTACGTCAATCTATGTGGCGCGTTTTGATCAAACAAATAAGATTCACGGTCACAGTTACGTCCCTTGCTTCAGCTGTTTCACATTCATCAGATACCCGTGAAGATCCGGGCTGGAATTGGTCTTCAACAACCAATGCTTGTCGTAAGAGGCGACTAACGGGATCGGGTGGTCAGGCTCGCTGACTTGGTTGACACATGTCACCGGTTCCCAATTGCGTAGATCGATGCGCATGATGTTGATCATTGGATTGTCTGGTCCAGACTCGATTATTTACAAACCGCCGCCATATAGCTGGTACATTCCTGAGTTAAACGGCAAACAAACAAACCATTTATCAGAATAACAGTGTTTCCGGTTTGACAATGTTGTCCTCGGCCTGTTTCCCCGGATAGACTTCACCGGATAGAATTAGCGCAAGCGCACCCCACGCAATGAACCAGGCTGGGTATTACTTTATTCCTCTAACGCTGTACCTCTTAAGAGACAGATAACTCTTCTCAGTCTCGATTCGTCTCCATGCAGCGTTCCAGTGTTACCAGTGCGAGGGGGTGGAGTGTCGCAGCCCGTGGGTGGAGCCCTGCCCCTCCGCTCTCTGCCGCACCACTATAATACAAGACGTGAACGGGCAGCGAACACTGAGTAAAAGGTACGACCAATGCCATGTTTGTCCAATCCCAGTTGTCAAAACAGAGTTGTTTCCCTTAGAAATGACAGCCACCTAAGATATTGGGTTCAAATCCAGGTTTTCTAATATGTTTGTTTTGTCAGCGTAATACTCGTGCAGACG